TACTAGGAACAAAGGGCACCGCTTCTAGGAGCAAGGACGCTACTAGGTTGGAGGCCATCGCTAGTAGGTTGGAGGCCGAAGAGTTTGCCGGCGCCGTTGGGTTTCCGTTCCGAGTGGCCGAGGCCTTTCCGGCCCGGCATGTGGTGCGGAACAGCATCGGGGGCGCACCGCAGGTGGTTCCAGCGCACTGAACATTGGGTTTACGGATCATGGACGCAGCAACGCTCAATGATATTCCTTCGAGTCTGTCATTTGCAGAAAACCATCCTTTCGTCAGTCGTCGATTTTCATTGCATGTTGTTTGGCAACAGCCTCTAGACATTTCAATGCGAAACTGTTGGCGGCCAGGGACAGCACAGCTATGAGTCAAGTAGCTTAGTCTCGCTGGTTGGATATGTACACAAAAGCCAACAGCTTGGCATACTGTAACCTGTATGTTCTTCCAGTGTTACCCTGCTTCCGGGACCGTTTTTGAGGTCATACCAAGCCATGGAGGATCAGTGGAACGAATGGACCATTCTTTGTATCGTTGGGTTGGGCCTTAGATTGACAGACTTTGACAGAATTGTTTCACGAACGGATCATCATCAAAGTCGTTTTGGGCTTTTGTTCGTCTCGAGAGAAACAGTTCAAGAGGATCTTCTGTATAAGTTTGCGCTGCTCACCATTGTTCACCTTACATATCGGACCTTTCCACTACCAGAGCACTTTTGAAAGACGAGAAACGAACCAAACACTTGATACTACACCCTGCTCTAGAAGGAATTCCAGACGGTGTTCTCTCTCATGCCAAACGTGTCCAAGGAGTGTGTTCTTGAAACATTGAGAACATGTGTTCCGTATGGCTCACACGCGTGCTTGCCTGATGAGGCTTATTGGCATCATGCTTACCAGCATTGTCACGGCCAACAGAAGGTGCAATTCCAAAGGGTATAGCAAACATTAGCAAACATAGATTTAGATCTGTGGTTTGCGCAAGCTGCAAGCTTCCCTTTTGCGCACTCTTCTGCTTCCCTGATGTTCCTTCAAGCTTCGTGACGATTGCTCTGTTGGAGGAGTCAACCTGGGAAGATGAGCTCCTTGGCTGAAATGGCTCCAGGTAGGAACCATGGAAACTTCCAACGGAAGCCCAATGGAGGCCCATGGGTATTCATGTTCATTGTGTTTGATGGTCAGAGGCATAAGGCTGCTAAACTCTAACGTAGTGACCAATCGTCTGGAGCTTTCAGCCGAGGTCACTTGCTGGAGCTTGAAACGTGGCTCAGTTCGGTTAGCCTCATTTAGTCTCGTTTCACTTTGTTCCTCTTTGTTGTTCAGTTTGGCAAGGGACATCAAAATAATCAAAGTAAAGATGTTTAGAGTCTATTTCATGTTCAGTGCTTCCATTTTTCAACTTCAAAAACGGGTGGAGGACTTCGTGGGGTTCTCCAGTGGGTTCCCGCTACTAGTAACAAGGGCATCGCTATTAGTAGCAAGAAGCTACTAGTAACAAGGGCATTACTACTATATAGTAAATTTGAAGTTTTGGTTCCTCCAGTTCTGCGCTCTAGGTCCCCAGGTCCTGTCCTTCACGGGTTCCGTAACTCTTACGAAGGCCTTTGGCCGCCTTCGCGACCTCTTTTTTGGAGAAACCAAGGATAGGACCTAGGAGAATTCTTTCTGGTCTTTGAAGGCTTGAAACTGTCGGATCATGAAAGTGCCCAATTTTACCGTTGGCACCCCACAGTGTCCTCACTTGGCATCTTGGCGCCCAAGGCGATGGAAGCTCACGGGCTCGAGCACTGCAGGCGCCGTGGTCGCGTTGCATTGAACCGTGCGCGTGGTTCGGCACCGTTGCATGGTTTTGAGGATTTTGTTGGGCAGGTAGGGGAGCTGATCGGATCATTGTTTGACGAAGCCACATCTCCCTCGAGGCGATGAGGCTTTTCGACGGTGAATCTTCAACCTTTAGGTGCCACGGACAGCCATCGCTATTAGTAACAAGAAGCTACTAGGGGCTCCTGGCCTTACTATAAGAAGCTACTAGGGGCTCCTGGCCTTACTACTAGGAACAAGAAGCTA